GTTTTTAAAAAGGCTGGGAACCTAGCTTAATGCAAAGGCCCTGGGTTTAATCCCTAGTACCATTGGGGGGTGGGGGGGGTTCCCTCTATTGGATATTTTATTTTTAATAGAGGCAAGGTCTTGCTGTGTAGTTCATTCAGGCTGGCATGGAGCTATGTAGCCCAGGCTGGCCTGAGTGCTGGGATTAGAGAGGTACACCAACATGCTTGACTTTCTTTCTTTCCTTTTTTTTTTGAGGTAAGGTTCTACTTTTTTGACCAGGCTAGTCAGAAACTTCTGGGACTCAAGTAATCTTCCTTTGCCTCAGTTTCCCAAGAGCTGGGATTTCACATTGCTCCTGGCTTTTTTTTTTTTTTTAAGGTATATGTGTATATTTTTATTATACAGGAGTGTTGAGGAAATGAACCCAAGGTCTTCCATATACTAAGCTAGTATTCTACCACTGAGCTATATCACCTTGCAGAATTTTTATTCATCAAAAGCGTTCTTCTATTCCTCATGATAATGAATAGGTGAGCTTTAAATATACATGAGTTAAATTTCTGCCAGATTTTTTTTTCTTCAAAAAATTTTGTGATTATTTGTACAAGTAACAAATTAGTCTAAATTACTCATTAAGACAGAGTAATTTTGCCCCAGTTGTGAATGGGTGTTTAGTAAAGTTCATATTTAATTGTGACTTTTGTATCTCTTACCCATGGTTCTCAGTGACATCTCATTAGAGCTGTAAAAAGACTGGAAATTTTCTCAAAGGCTGCAGTTTTAAATCTGGTGCCCAGCTGGGTGTGGTGGCGCTTGCCGGTAATTCCAGCACTCAACAGGCTGAGGCAGGAGAATCACTGAAAATTCAAGGATAGTATATAGAGTATGACGCTGCAAAAAAAAAAAAAAAAAAAAAGTGGTACCCAAATAAGTATGATGAGTCATAGGCCTCTGCCAATCAGAGTTCTTGTTTATGCTGAAATTATAGCTCTGGCCCTTACCTCTTCTTTTCTTCCTTTGTAAAAGTATCCAACTGTTCTATGTATTTAAAGAAAGGGTGAAAAAAATCTCCTTAAATAGACCTCCTAGAAATCTATTATGTAATTTGGGTGGGAATCTAAGACTGCTGTAGACATACAGGCAAAATTAATTAACTGATAAATCAGGTGTAGTTTTACATGGTATTTTTCAAGATTAAAATGTATGAAAATTATGTTAAGTCCTAATTTTAATTTCATAATGCATTGGAATTTCCTTTTATGCAACTTAAAACTACCACTACCTTTGCCCTGTAGTGCAAACTGAGTTTGACAGTAAAATTGTGTGCTGTGCTTTCTGCCTCTGTATTAGTTATAGCTGAAGTTCCTCATGTGAGAGCTTTCTTAGTCTTTCTGATCCCTCTATCCCTGAGTGTTGGGAAAATGTTGGCCTTGTTCATTCCTCTGTCTGGTCCCAGAGTACTGCTGTGCAGAATGCAGGAAGGAAATCCTGGCAAGTATGGCAGACTCTTGGCAGTCACCTCCTGTAAGTTGGGGCAGTTTCTGTCTCAGTGCTGCCCAGACATAGCTTCTTGTGTGAAGGTATTTTATCTCTGTCAGCTGAAGAATACTAGTTAAAATCTTTTGTTTTCCTGTCCGTACCCACTGAGTTGGCATTTAAGGTAGAGTAGGTCATATAGGGCACCTGTTGGTCCCAGCATAGTTCAGCATCTGTTGACTTCCCAGGAGTGGTGTGTCAGATGCTGCTGTTTGCTGGGTACGTGCAACTGGGTGGCAGGCTATAGTGGCAGTTAGTTGTGCATGAAGACTGAGAGAGGAGAGGAGTAACCATTTCCAGGGCCTGTGAGCCCTACTTTCTGTCCGCTTGTGAAGGCTTGTGACACATAACTTCTTACTGTTAAGAGGTGGCCCCCACCACCACTTTTTCAGCCTACTGTTACCTCTGAATAAACATAGATGACCAACCGCCCTCTTTCAATAGATACATTTGACACTGTAGAGGAACACAACACAAAAACATTTAAGGTTTGTCTGTCACAAATGGTTTTTCAGTTTTCATACGCCAGCATTGATAGGTTATTGGGGAAGAGGAAAAAAAGAGACATTCACTTTTTTACAGTATACACAATTTTAATAACAAAACTTTCCTGTACACTGTACTTAATGTTACCCACCCGTGACATCCCCCAGTAGTATTTTCTTCCCACCCCTAACCCATGTGGCACCCCCCCCCATGGCTCTTGAAGGCGATTGAACACAATGTGTTTGGACTGTACTTGGAGTTTCAAGTCTCAAGTTGATAGGTTCACCAAACATTCCATTTATTAGACTTTTTGAAAAAAAAAAATAAGAAAGGTTAGTTGACGGAGTTGCAGAGGTTTCTAGATGTTTGCAGTAGCAGAATGAAAGCTTAAACAGTCATTTTCTGTTTGTATTTGGCCTTATTCAAGTATTATGAATTTGCCCACGATTAGTGAAAAATTATTAATTATGCTTGGATGACCTTCTTTGTCTTTTTCAGGCTCAAGCACTTTAACCAACAGGGTATGTCCCCAAACAAATTTTCCAGATAGGTCTGTCACTGTATTCTGTATTAGGAACATGATCATGTAATTCAGCTGTTAGAAATATTCTTTGAAGAATATAGATATATATTTTTTACTAATTATATACTTCAGAGAGAGAGAAAGAGAGAATAGGGACTTTATAGCTATAATCCCCTGATAGCTGTTTGTAGGAAGTATGCTTTATGAAAATGATATCTATGTTCTGTATTTTGAGATTCAGACCTAATGCTACATAGGGCTCATTTTTATTGGGAAGATGGAGTTTAGCACTTGGTAACTCGCATTAAAATAAGCAGATGCATTTTAATAATTAGTGAAGTTGGGAAGTTCAGGCAGTCCCATTCATTGAATTGGTGCAGAAATCAACTAAGGCACATTAAGAAATTACATGTGTTAGTACAGATTTTTGGCTTAAAAATTAGTATCTTTGTGTTTTGATGCTGGTAGTAATTCAGAATTATTTGCAGATTTGGAAATTTATAAGCCCACTCTCCTTCCAGAAAGGTGAGAAATCCCTGACAAGCTACAAAAATGAGTAGAAACAACTGCAAACTGTTTCTTGGTTCTTAGGTGGATAAGGTGTCATAGTCATCTGTAGCTTTCTGTGTTCCCAAAAAAGTGGTTATTTCTCTGCTTCTTGGTAGTCATTTTCCTCTAACCTTGAAAATGGAGATGGTAATGACAAAGAGTATAAAACACAACTATAAAAACAAAAACAAAAAAAAACCCTGACATGGTAACCAGGATCTGCAGTACTCTGTGAAGCTTTTCTACGCTGGCCAGTTGGTAAAGAGAGCACAGATGACTAACAGTCTCATTTTAAAACCTGTGCTGATACTGAAATACAAATGGGCAACAATTAAATGGAACCCTGCCTTCTAGAGGCAGTTAATATGTAATTTGTCTTTAAATGAGAAAGGAAAATACCTGTTTGGCACTGTTATTCACTTTTCTCAGTGGGCATTATGAAAAACGTGGAGGGCAACAAAAATCAGTTATCAGCTGAAAAGTATGCCTCAGTGGCCTTGACAGTACTGTTTCCTCTGAATTACTAAATGGCTTGTTTTTTCCACATACATTGAGGATTTTGCCAATTGATGGTCCATTTTACTGTGTCCTTTAGGATTAATATAGGGATTACCATTTTATATTTCTTACCCTTCTACTCATAGTTTGAAATGATGGAAATACTCCTGCTATCTTTCAGGGCTGATGGAACCTTGTGTGCTCCAAGGTGTGTTGTGAACCAGCTGTCTCTCACCTGACAAATGGCTCTGGCCACCTTGATAAATGGGTTGGTCAATTTTAGCCTATGGAGCTCTCATTTGTAACAGGGGCTTCTAAGCTGTCCCTTTGTAGGGAAGTATTGCACTGCGTGCACTCTGTGCCAGAAAATCTGCCTCTGCCCAGGCAAGCCCAAAGTCTGTTATAACGAGATGAAATGGCACCACCTAAGCAAATTGAGCTGGGCTGAAGCTTTGCCAAACTAATCTACCTACATTAAAAAAAAAAGTAGAGCATATTTTCACTGTACCGAGATACATTATCTTTGAAATATAAGTACCCTTTGCAGAATTAAATGAGAAACTCATAGTTAAATCTTACGGGTTAAACTGTAGACGTAATATGTTTTCAGTTCAATCTTGGGAAAGAAAATATGCCTTGAATAGAAGGATAGAAATTGTCACACATGTTAAGGAAAAGATTTCTCTCTGTCTCTCTTTCCTCCCTTCCTCTCTCCTCTGAGGATTTGTCTTTTCACATACAATGACAGTTGCAAAAAAGCCCACTTTCTCCTCCTAAAATCAAGTTAGTGCTCTATTTTTAGTTTTTCACATACACAGAACCTTCTCAATAGAAAAATTGTGTGAATTGATGTTACATCGAAATCTCAAATGTCATAGTTTGCCCATAAAAATCATAGAAATTGAATACTTGTGATACTTTTCTTCATGAAAATGTGGCATTGTTACCATTTATTATTATGGAATGTTTATATTTACACAGGAGAACCTCCCCCTCTTCCTGTTTCAGCACAGGTCCCAGAGCTTAGCCCTGTTTGTGCAGATTGCGTATGATCATTCTTTTCTGCTTAATAACTTCAGCTAACTGGAGTCAGTTTTCAAAAATCTTTCTCTGCTCTTCATCCTCTTAACCTTCATGCTGCCTTTCATTTACTGCTGTGTAGCATAGGCATGTTGAATATTCTGCCATAAGATTCACTTCATTAATATGTTGTTTTCTCTCTTAGAAGGAACCATACAATGAGAATGGGTATCCTTATTAAAAGGTCAAAATTTAGCATATAATATTTAGAAAATGATTCCTTCATGGTTCTTTTATACTGTAACAATAATCAAGATTGTGCTGGTTGCTAGCAAGTTTTTAATTTGGCTTTTTGAAGGTAAAGATTTAAAAATCAGGAAAAAGCAGAAGAAAGTGGTTTAACCCTTTTGTCAAGGCAGTCTTTGATCTATCATGACTAGGTTGGGAAGGAAGAGAGTTTGCAAACTGAAAGGAAGAGAGCAATATTGTTAAACTGGCTCGTTTTATCTTTTCTCTCCCAGATAAGTTTTAATTTTTTCCACATATAAATGTAAATATGAGTTAGTAAATTAATTAGTAAAATGGTCATTTAATACTAGTTTAAAATAGTATAAATGCCACAGAACATTTCCATTATGTGTCAAATTAGAGATGTATGATAAGTTAATGTAATTATTTAGTATTGATTTCATTGTAATGAGATTTTTTTTAAACAATCTCTTATTCATTGTTTAAATATATTAAATAGTCTCAGCTTATCAGAGTTACATAAAGGCAGCTGATTTCATGATTTGGACTTTGATAATGTCTACTAAACCAGGAAGAAATCTGGAGAAAAGTGTTCAGTATTTACCAGTCTCTAGCATACATACAATTCTGCTTCTTACACTGGCATTATTGTAGATTTGAGTACATACCATGTTATACAAGAGAACTTTGCAGCAAGCCAGTGTGTTATGTGAGATGGAGAGCAGTGATCAAACAGGTATGGATCCATATCTGTTTCTGTTCAATAGCTTCTTTCCCAACTATTTTCATTAGAAAATAATAGCCAATGGAGACCTTAGTGTAAATGTTTGCACACAATAGTACATAATTACATACATGAAATGTCTTATTGTGAAGCATTTTAGATTTTCCAACAAGAGTGCAAGTTAATATGAGCAATGCTTCATTAAACACTTAAAATATGGTTTCATTAAAAAATTAAAAATACTTCAACACTTCAAAAACTAAGTCTCCACTTGGTTTGGAAAATTAGGCTTAATGTCACCATTGGTAAAAATTAGATATGTATTTAGCCCCTACTATGTAAAATAGATTACTTATCTGATGTGATTTTTGATGATGTGTAGATATTATACTTCACATTCTTTGTATGGCAGCTGCTGACACTTGCACTGTCCATAACCATTAATGATGATGAAGGGTCCTTCATGGGTGGGTTCATACTCATTATACGGTCCTTGGTCTGACATGTTTGACATATGGAGTCGTGTTTGGGATCGGAGCTGCCTGTGGTTCTGAATCATTGAGCATTGCCTAATTCTTCTTAAAGTAGGAGGGCAGCACTTCCTGGAGATGAACACTATAAAAATAATAAAAAAGAAAGAAAACAATAAAGCCATTGTTCCTGTAATTACCCGCTGAGTAAAGATGGCATTGTCTGGTTCAGGAAAGTGTTCCTCTGTAGTAACTGCTATGCCTGCAGTAGTTGGGATTTCTTTGTCTCCGAGATGGTAACTTGATGAGCTTATTCTTTTTGTATATTCAGTTGTTGGATCTCTGTAAGTTGTAGCCATGGGAGTGACAGTGGTGGATAAGTTCCAGCAGAGCTGAAATCCATGGACTGCATCTAGGATATCCTCTCCTTGGGTGTGGTCAGGGCTGTGACATAGGATGGAATGTTCCCACCGACCTTGGAAACTGCCCAGCCAGGAGGCAAGAGCACATATTCGTGGGCTGCATTCCCACAGATTGCCAGAGAGGCCAACGGTTGTGAGGGATTTCAGGGAGTTTAAGATCTTGGAATCAAGACTATTTAACTTGTTGTTATCCATGAGGAGTATTTTAAGATTAGGCATCGTTTCAAATACTGTCAAGTCAATGGCTTTGATTTCATTTCCAGTCAGGTCTAGCTTTTCTAAAGTGCTCCAGGTCCATTCCATCCCACATGTCAAGTTGCTAATTTTGTTCCATTGTAAGAAGAGCATGTGCAGATTGCTTAGCCGGAGGAAATGAGCAAAATTAATCTTCGTCAGCTGGTTGTGCTCTAGGTGAAGCTCTCTCAGTTTGATTAATCCTGCAAATCCATTGCGAGCCAAACTTCGCAAACGGTTTGTGCTCAAATCCAGAAACTCCAGACTACGACAGTCCCAGAACAGGCGTACTGGGATAGTCCGCAGGGAGTTGGAACGTAAATGCAAGGTCTGCAGCTTCCGAAGGCCATAGAAGAGTTCTGGATGCAGAGATGACAGCTGATTAAAAGACAGGTCCAAATTTTGCAGGTTAATCAGTTGGGTAAAAGTTGTGTTTGGCAAGTAAAATATTTTGTTGGAACTTAAGATTAATTCCTTAAGTTTATATAGTCCTTGGAAAGCATCTTCTTTTACCGTTGAAATTTGATTGTGATCTAAGTGGAGCCAGGTAAGTTGACTGAAGCTGACAAATTGATCTCTTTCAAGCTCTGTGATGTGATTGTGCCTCAGGGACAGGCCCAGAGAACCCTTGTCTGTGGCGTTTGGCACTGAGTGGAAGCCCTGAGAGTCGCAGTAGAATAGCAGCTTCTCGCAGCGGCATTTGGGTGGACACGCCATACCCAGGGCAGGCAGCATTTTTAAAACCATACTCATTGCATATATTGCTGCCAGCATAGGGGCCCCTAATGGCCACTTGAAATGTAAGCCTGCAGAATATAATTTAAGGAAAACAAGAAGATAGGATATTTTTCAGCAGAACATATGGGCTGTTAAACACAACATAACATTATGGTGAAAGATTTCACTGCAATATTTAACTTTTCATTTACTGCAGAAAAATTAACCGTGTTATCATTTCTGGAACACAACTCAAAACCATTTAAAAAGATTAAACATATTCCTGTCATCAGCAATATATGCATTTACCTAAACCTCTCAAACACAAAAATGTGACAGTGATTTCAAAATATGAATTCTGTGGCTTATTTTTAAAGCGTGATTCCTTGTTTACTATACAAATCATATAAATTCATGGACTTACCCATTCTTCTGAGCACATTGGAGGCTGCATTCAGTCGAGGTCGTCAGACTCAACGCAGTGAGTCTGTGAAAGGCTCTAACGTGCAGGAGCCTCTGACCGGTTTTCTGTTCCGTGTCCCCAGCTTTCCTACTAAAATTGACTTTGTCAGAGTGAGTTGTTTTTTCCTTAAGATATTCCTCTGGAAAGCATTAGTTTCATTTTTTCTGATGCTCTGATCTTCTAAATAGATTTTCAGTATCAGTTACAAATTTTCTCCTCCTCTAACTGCTGCTGGTCATCAAAGCTTCAGTCTCTTCTCTCCGCAGCCGTTAGTTCTCTTGGTCTTAACTTGTTGATGGCAGATGGGCGGCTTGTTGCAGAGAAGAGCTCCTGGAGCAGCATGAGTGCATTTACTGAAAAGCCTTTCCGAGAAACGGCACAAGAATGGATTTGCTTATGTGCTGCGACCACACAGAACTGTATATAGGCTGACGTCACCGGGTGACGTGTCTTTTGTTTGGGTTTTCCAGAAGCTTTACTGTTAAAAAAGCACAGTGCTTTTTAACAGTATTGGGGTCTTTGCAACACTCCCCCCTTCCCCTGATTACAATAAAGCGAGAAAGAAGATCTCCTGACTTAACATGGTATTCCTTCAGTGTAGGAAGCAGCAGTGAGGTTGTAATAAAGGCTGCATTCAAGAAGACCCGTCTGAACAGTGAGTTGGGCTAGCAGAGTGATGATTTTTAATGTGTGTGGGAGCCAGTGTTAGACTGCCGATTCTGCATAGATAGATCATCTAAATGGGCAGAAGCCTACACGATTGATTTATGAAGTGCTGATTTAATACCAGCCTGTGCAATGTAGTGGTGCTTCTCTGGTAGTTTGAAAAGCTACTCAATTGCTGTGTTCTCATGCTTGGTAGAAATCAAAGTAAATACGGATTATTAGATGTGTTGGTAAACCAAGTAAGCTTCACTCCTTTGTCTTTATGAGCATAACATCTTAAACCAAGAATAAAAGGGGGGCGGGGCGGGATGGAGGGAGAGCCCCCAAAACAGTATTTTGTCTTTTTTTTTTTCCCCTTGGAGGAATTTCAGTAGAACTTTAGTTGAAAATATTTTTTCTTCTCTATTCAATCTTAAAATAATGGTTTATATCATGCTAATTGAAAAATAATGACAAGTTGATTTTTAGATGCTTTGCTAGGAGAAAAGCACAGATAAAAGTCATTTAGATACACATGACCCAAGTGTTAGCAGTGGAGCAGAGATGATTTCAGGCAAACGCAGTGTGGCTATATTCTGGTCCCTTTTATTTACCTCAGTATCTCCTCTACTCCTTAACTGAAAACCTTAGCTGATGCCAAGTTGAGGGGTTGTGGCACTGAAATAATACAGCACTTGCAAACTCGCTCCTAGTGGCAGACTTAAGAACTGACTTTGAATCTCATACTAGCAGTTTTTGTAATTTATAATAAATATAAAAGGTCACTAATACCTTGGAATGAGATTTTCACATTGTCTTGTTTTGCATGACCTAACTTAAGCTTCTCCCTCTTGGGTTATATCGTTACTTAGTAGACCTTGGATAGGAATATACAGCTTGATATGATATTTTACGAAATGTAGAATATGTTTCTAGCATTAGTCAGTGTCACTCTTGTGGTTTTAAGGCCTTTTGTTCATCTTGCCTTATTGATTTGATCCTGTATACCTATGTTTCTCCATACCATTGTCACTTATCCTAATTATTCTTGTCTCAGACCCAGGGCAGAAATCCCAAAAACTACAGATGGTATCTGGGAAATAACATATTGGACTATTTGCTTCTGAGGGCTTCATTACACCAGATAACTCTAGATGTCATTATTTTAAGCTTGGAGTGGTAGTGCAAGGCTGAGACAGGAGATTACAAATTTGAGGCTAGCCTGGACAGCATAGCAAGACCCTACCTCAGAATAAAACAGAAAGGGCTGGGGATGTAGCTCAGTGATAAAGTACTTGTCTCGTATGTGCAACACCATGGGTTTAATCCCCTACATGCCTCTATACATAAAGTATTTACCTAAAGGGGTAAAAGTGTTGTTTTGGCAGGCTCAGTTTCCTTCCTTAGGACCATGTGTAAAGGTGCTGTGCAAACTCCAGTAATTTTAAATTCTCCTAAAACTAACCTCAAGATGAGCTTAAAGGTACATGGGATTTATTGGAAGAAATGTCTGAGAAGTATAAGGAAAAGAGAAAGTAGGGAATATCTGAGGTCCATGTATGTTCTGCTCACAAGGCATGTGTGATACTGTAAAAGGGGAAGAGAAGGCAAGAAAATTATAGACCTGGACATTCTCAAAGTATAATGCTGTTCTTAGTTAGTGTCACTGGCTGCAGAAGTCCTGAAGCAAAATTGCCTGTAAGAGTCAACCCTTTGCAATGCAGTTGCCAAATGAAATTCCCTCTAATAACTGCTTACTTACTTAGGAATAACCCTGCACTGGTGCTCCCACTGTGTTCTTTGTGGTGCTGGTTTAGGAAGGGAAGGAGTAACATTTTGTTTTAGATCCCAATGATGCCACTGTCCTACTGACCTTGATCCCTCCTAAGTTTTCCTCTGTAAGCCAGATACTAATTTTAGGGAGGAGGGGGTTGTTGAGACAAGGTCTTAATATTTACTTTAGGCCAGCCTTGACCTCACTGTGTAGCCCCAGCTAGCCTCCTGTTTCAGCCTCCCAAGTGTTGGGACTACACATATATAATCCCCCCCGAAAAAAAGAAAAAACTAGGCCAGATAGTCTTAACCTGGGTACATTGATGGGCTTGTGAAATTTTGTTGCTTGTTCATTGTTCTGTGAATTAGGCTTAAGCAGATTCCTACAGGGTCTATAACCCTGGGTTTCACTACTCTGTAGGCACTTGCTCTAAATCGATGGATATCTGTGTCTTGTATGATGGTTTATTTTATTTTTTTAAATCATAAAGAAGCCCTTGCGATGTTGTAAATAGTTTATTGACGATAGCCACTCTCTAGTGAAAAAACACTTTGCAGTGCAGTTGCCAAATGAAATTCTTCCCTCTAATAACTGCTTTGCTTCCATGGGAAGAAAAGCATGAGGCAATTACATTGGACTCACTACAATTAGGAATACTTGTAGATGAAAATTTAAAAGGAAAAGCATCACTTCTTTGAACTCTTAGTTCCTTTCTGCTTTGTAATCTGCTATGCCTACCTCTTTTATACTAATAAATGGAAATTACTTAGATTGTATTATTGCAGGGCTAGTATAATGGATTTGGAGGTAGGGAAAATTGCCTAGAGAAGTAATAGAAAGTTACCATCTTTATCATCATCTGTGTCTTTGAATTAAGATGTTGATACCTGTTGTACACCTTACTGGAAGACGACTTGACAAGGCTTGAGGGTGGAGTTGGGTAAGACTCCTCTTCCAGGACAGCTGATTCTGTCCTGATGCTTGTTCCACCTATCTGTACAGTTTCTGCCTGTTTGCCTATCTGCCTGCTATCCGCCTGTGTAATGACTCTGATTTTGCTTTGTATGGTTGTACTCTGATTTATTCAGCATAAGTTTTTGAGCCTTTTGGTTTTTTCAGACAGCATGAAATAAATATCTTTTTAACATCTTTTATCCTTAGGAAAGTTTATATGTAAGATAAAGTTCCAGCAATGAAATCACTCGGTTATAGGGTGTATCGTTTAAAATGATAAACATTGCCTTCCAGAAAATTTTAGTATATTTTCTTCCCCCTGACCCCACTCTGTACTTATTCACTCCTCCCTGCCATTAATACAATGTAGGACACCATCAGATATAAAAATACCTACAAAGCTGGGTTGGGGGAGTAGCTCAGCAGTCTAAGCATCTGCCTGGCAAGGTCAGGAACCCAGGTTTGATGCCCAGCCAGACCCTGTACCAAATAAATAAAACTTTTTTGTTTTTGCTTTTGTTTTAATGTATTTGGTACAGGGTCTCAGTATGCAGCTCAGACTCGTAGTGATTCTCCTGTTTTCAGTCTCTCCAGTGCTGGGATTACAGGCATGCACCACCATGTCCAGACTTGGGGCTCGCTTAGAGGGCATGTGTTATGGGGGATCGTGAGGGGGGGATCGAACCCCAGTCTCTGCACTTGCCTAAGTAGGCAGTTAGTCCGCTGAGCTATCTTGCCAGCCCAGATAAAAGATTTTCTAAAAAATTACAAATCTGATAGATCAAAAAACACTCTCTGATTTGTCCTTTTAAGATGAGTGAGATTCAGCATTTTATATAGATATTGTCATTTTCTTAAAGATTCATATATTTTTGCTGTGTGAGAAATAAACTTTGAGGGCCAGCCAAATAGCTTGGCTGATTAAAGCACCTGCAAGCAGGCACAGAGGCCAGGGGTTCAATTCCCAGGCCTGCTGTGCCGGCCCCACCCCTGGGGTGCACTGAGATGGCAATTGAGACTGGGCGTGGTGATACATGCCTGTAATCATTCCCAGCACTTGGGAGGCTGTGAACAGGAGAATCACTATGAGTCCAATCTAGTAGTGAGACCTTGAACACCCTGTAGACCCTTCCCAAAAATACAGGAAAAAAAATTAAATTTGATATACATTTTACAAGTAGTTCATGTTATTGTTGAACGGTTCTGTGATTTCGGATAAGAGTTGCACTTTTCATCTAAGAAAATACCCAAGCTATAACATTCATTTTTGAGGTCTCTGTGAGGTAAAGTAGAAGGGAAAGAGGTGGTATTTATGTAATATTAGAATGCCCTGTCTATTTAAAAACAAATTGAAATAGGTAACATTAGGGACACCAGAATCTGTTCTGCTTTTTGTAGTTCAAGGATAAGGTTCATTTTAAAAGAAATTGGAGAGCTATAGTCTAAATAACTATTATATTTTAAGATTAAGATACTAATTTTTACCAGAGCTCCCAATGACTTGCATAAATATTCAGCTTGCAGGGAGCACCTGTCTTTCTGTGAAAGAGGCACAACAGCCAGAGTGAAGTTGCTTCTCATATTCATCAAATGTATATATCGTGCACTACAATGTATTGTTACCCAGCCCAAACCAAGTCTTTTGTCCCCCTTTAAAAAAGACATGGCTTCTTTCATAGATTTTCCAAAATTTTCTTGATTCTCATTAAAGTCTTTACTCTTCCTCTGAAGTCTTCTCTAGCTCTTCATTAGCTTCAGTGCCACCTCTTTTCTGAAGTTCTACACCCTTTGCTTAGCTCAAGCTCCTTACTGTGTTGACAGTCTCCTTACTTCCCTTTTATACCCGGAGGTGAGGATGCTGCTCTGTTGTTTCCTGGGGTGGAGGCTTCAGGTGCTCTTTCTGACTCAGAGGAGTGTGTATGTGTGCGCGCATGTGCACGCACTCACTGGAACGGAACTTGTGGCCTTTGTACTGAGCTCCATCTCCAGCCATTTTTGTGTTTTTATTTTGAGACATGTTCTCATTAAGTTGCTAAATTGCCCAGGCTGGCCCAACCTTGCACCTGCCTTGGCATCCCATAGTGTTGAATTTATAGGCATGAGCCACCATACCTTGCAAAGACTCAGGTCTTGTAAAATGCTAGTTTAATTTTAATTTTTCTGATGGCTAATAAAGTCATTGTATATAATTATAGACTTTCCTGTGAATTTAAAGGAGACTTGCTGTCATTGTTTTTAAATGTTTAAGTGTTAAAACATTGGAGTTAACTCTCTTGCCCTATCTTCTCCAGCCTTACTCCAGATTAAAATAAGAATAGAAAACAGTATTTGGTGTTATTTGAAGTTTTACATGTGACTTTTAAATATATCCCTAATTGACTGCCAGTTCCTCATTTATCTATGTCTAATTGGAAACAAAGGCAAAAGGTAATTATCTTAAAGTGTGATTTGAGGAGGAGGGCTATGTGGGAGTACTCCAGTGAAGCGCTCTACTTGAGCTTACTGTGGTCAGTGGAAGCTTCCAGAAAGAATTGAAAGCTCATTGAAAGGGTAGGAGTTAGAGGTACATCAGACAGAAGAGAGACAGAAGAGGCAGAGATAGGACATGCATAACGTATGGGTACCCAGTATGCATGTGGATGATTCTCAGCATGGAAGATGGCAGAGTGACCATTTTCATTAGAATTGGAATAGCTGTGTTCTCTCAGAGTTAAAGAGAAGGAAGCTGTTAACAGAAAAGCTCTGAAGAGATCAAATATATCTCATCAATTTGAGTATCCCCTGCCCCCAAGCATGGTCAAATGTTTAGTATTCACAGTTACATTGATCAGTTTTTGACAGGTTCACTAGAAACCTTTGTCACATTTAGGATTTTAAAAATCTTATTTAATTTTGGTGGAACCGGGGATTAAACGCAGGCCCTTGCGCAAGCGCTTATTCTACTGAACTATCTCCCCAGCCCCAATTTTATTTTATTATTAATTTTTTGAATTTTAGGGAAGGGTCTATAGGGTGTTCAGGGTCTCACTACTAGATTGGACTCATAGTCATCCGCCTGTTTACAGCCTCCCAAGAGCTGGGATTACAGGCGTGCGCCACCATGCCCAGTCTCATTTGTGCCCAGTCTCAATTGCCATCTCAGTGTGCCCTGGGGGCGGGGCCAACATGGCAGGCCCAGGGATCAAATAAGCCCCTGTCCCTGCCTGCAGGTGCTTTAATCAGCTGAGCTATTTGGCCAACCCTCATTTAGGAATTAAAATGCCTCCAGCAATACCATGAGCTCCCGCACTCCATTACATATTTGTCCTATCCTGTACAAGGGTTAGAGTTGAAGCAGTATGATATCTTTACTGTTTAAGTTTTGCCTACTGTTGATTCCTGTTACTTTATTATTAACTTTTCAGGCCCTGCATGATAAAGGCGATTATTCTGAATTACTTTACCTCACTATATAAACTCTATAAAGGTGTTACAGCTATTGTCCATTCCAAGGATTAAGTTCAGTTAAGAATTTGTCTAGATAAACAGCACTGGAGGAGAATGTAGTTTTCATGCTTACATTACACATGGCTTTCATTGCTCTTCAGTATGTCATAGCTGTGTTGCTAGAGGCTGATTGAGCTAATAGCCTCTGCTTCTCAGCTCAGCTGATGTTTATTTACTGAAGAGACGCTTCATGTTAAAGCCTTAAGCAACCCTTGTCTTTTTTTTAAGAAAGCCCTTTGCCACTGGTAAGCAGAGATACACATAAATCAAAATTAACTGAATCTAGGTGGCTCAGGAGTTAAAGTTTCTCACAGCTTCGAGTAATAGTAACACAAGTTGAGTATCCATAATTTGAAAATCCCAAATCTAAAATACTCTGAAATCCAAAACTTTAATCTAAAACTTTGTGTAAAAAATGTCTGTATACTAATATTAAAAAAAAATTTTTTTTTTGAAATGTGAATTTCACAGAAGGGGACATTCAGTGTTTGTTTTCCTCATGTTTGCTTGAGTAACTTTATTTTTTACCTGAATAAAATGTTAAACAAAATTAACAACTTTAATTTGAAAAAAAGTAAAACCTTGATTTACAGACCAGTAAGCCCTCTATTTTCATCAAGCTCAAGATTGTATATATGTGTATGTATAATTATCCTTACTGTATTATAAACGATTGGACCCTCAGACTTACTATTTGGCTTACAGTTTTTTTAATGAAGGAATATATTGACTTAAAAGTGTTCTATCTTTTAACTGCTTCTGAACTGCTCCCCCCTTCTCCAGTAATGGAGGTATAAACTTTTATTTCTCACAGAAACAAGAAAGACAAATTGATTTTTAAGGTACTTTCGCAAAGGCAGAATTAACAGATTCATGGTAAGGGTTGCATTATTCTTAAAGTGAACTTTCCTATGTAATCGTATTATTTCAGGGACTTGGTTCTACATAACTTTCACAGTAAATCCTTCTGCCCAAATTGAGGAAACTGCTGGACATTTTGAGAGGCAGAGACTTAGCTGTTATGAGATCACTGACCGTTACCTTTGGAGTTTAGATTACAGGTATTTTAGGACTGATTTATTTAGAAGAATTTGCTCCAAGTAGGCGGCTGAGTTTATTCAGAGAGATGGTCTCTAAATTTCTGAGTTTAGTAATTGGAGAAAATTTCTTGAAGTCTTTGAGTACCTAAGGAATCAGCTGCATATTAAAGCATTAATTATAGGTCAATTTGATTTTTTGTGGAACTGGGGGGTTAAACTCAGGCCTTGCGCTTGAGTGTTTATTCTACTGAGCCATCTCCCCAACCAATCAATTTGATTTTGATTGTCTTAGATTCCTTTGTCTTAGATCCTGATGTTTTGATCTTGAGATTATAAGTAATTCATTAGAATTTTTAAGCTCTCCTGTGACCGATGGCCCTGAACAAATCCTACTTTCTTTTTGTAGATAAAAATCCTCATACCTCAATCAGTTTTTGAGCTGCCCTTCCCCCATTACTATTAGTGAACTATGGTACTTAATTTTATTTGGAGAATAGGAGTGTTGGGGAAAAGGTAAGAAAGGAGACTGACAAGATATGATAGTGACTGTATGACTTCATCAATTATATTTCAACCTTTCATGTTCTGAAGTCCCCTTTTTGCTTTTCTGTCCTTTGCTAAATAAAACCTCATAGTCCTTTTTATTTTTTTCCTCCAATGATCCATACAGATGGAAACAGAGGGTAAGTGGCATTGTACCTACTTAAAAGATAAGTGAACAGCAAATTACATAAAAAGTGTAAATGTAACCACCAGATCACCACCACTACTCTTTACTTTCTTGTCATTCAGATACAATACCCAACACGTATAAGTTAAAGGAGAAAAGGTTTATTTGCCTCATAGTTTTTAGAGGTTTTAGTCCACAGTTGGCTGGTTCCAAGGCAGGATGACATGGCATGCAGCAGTGCAGAAGAGAAATACCATGGTATGGCAGGCAGTAAGCAACAAGAGATCTAGGGAGGAGGAGGGATATATAATATCTACAGTGACCGATATCTTTCTACCAGACTTCCATTCCCAGCCTCACACCCAACTATAAACCTATTAGTGGACTAATCCAGTGATGACGGTCACACAGCTTTGATCAAGTCACCTCCCCAAAACCCCACTTACAAGTTTATAAGGCTTTGGGGGACATAGCTAGCTGTACTTGAGGTAACAGCCCTTATCCTTTTTCTTTCAATTACCATTTATAAGGGGATCCCCCCCCCCCCCCCCGCGTTTACCTAGGCACATCTCAGTTTACCTCCTGGACCTCTGAAGAAGTTGTGATTTATATACCTCTTTCAGAGTGGCTGATATGTTCTTTTTTATGCGGTACAAGTGCACTAAGCTTAACCTAGAAATTCTGCACATATGGCTGAAGTAATTTCATAAGGCATTCTGATTTGAGTTATATAATTCACATTTTATTGGTTTGAGAGGGTCTTGCTATGTAGTTATGGTGGGCTTAGACTCCCTCTGTCTAGGCTATGGCCAAGGCTGGTATTAGACTCAAAGCTATCCTCTTGCCTCAGCCTCCCAAGTGCTGTGATTACTTATGGGCTACCATACCTGATTTTAAACAGAAGTCTTTGTATCTTGGTTTCCTCTTACTTTGACAAAGCTTTCAATTCCATTCATTCATTGGATAATATGGAGCCTAACAATTGAAGAGGCAAGGCAAGGGTCAGGAACAAATTCACATAGAATTATTCTGCCACAATATTTTCCAACTTAAGGCTAAAAAAGCTCTACTGTTTTTTTCAATGTTGACCTGAACACTAAGTAGCTATCGAATATCATTAAAATTCCTTGTAAATTACTGAAATGTATATTTCTTTACTTTTTATCCAGGCTGGACGTAAAGAAAGAAGTGATGCACTGAATTCTGCAATAGATAAAATGACAAAGAAGACCAGGGATTTACGTAGACAGGTAATTCAAAGAAAGTACCGATTGCTTTTCTAAGTTCTCTATTTTGTAGTTAATAATGAAAATCTGAATAAATATTAAGCTTATTTTGGTTGGGGGAAAGAAGAGATTTTCACAGAAAAATGGCTAGCCATGTTTTGTTAGTAATAAGCTTCTCAGTGGCTAAAACTTTCATAGGGACATGGGATAGCACAATCCCACTGGGATGCTTTAAAATGTGCGAAAAGGTGTGTAGGTTGGAAATGCTATTTAAAATGATATGGGGACCTGGGAAAATAACCCTGAAGGATTTTGTGATATTGACAGAAATTCCATCATTACTTATTTGACTTGCTCCACTCTGATTAACACTTGCGATTCCTTAGACCATGGGTGAAGTTGTTCTCCCAGTTTAATATAGTTGATATAGAGATATTTGTGTTGCTGTATTTTTCCATATTTGATAAAATAATTTGTTCTTGGTATTTTTTTTTAAAAAGTGTCATTAACATTTAAAAATTTAATTTTAGCCTTTAAAGAAATTACAATTGAATTTATAAAACAATGTATTAAGATATAAGAAATTACAATAATAATTAAAATAGTCAAGATTTTATTGCTTATGTCTCATAAAGCAAAATTAAAGGTTAGGTGTATCATTATTTAATTTATTTTAGGAGTAACAGTATTTAAAAAAGTTTGGAAGGGTGGGGCTGAGACCATAGCTCAGTGACAGCATAAATACTTAGCTTCCATATAGCCCTGAGTTTGATCTCTAGCACCCACAGAAGAAACGTATATGAAAATGTTTTAAAGTTTTAAGGTTCATGATCTGAACCCTAAACCCCTTTAGATAAACTTGCAGAAAGTTCTTTCTTCACTGCTTTTTGTTTAGCTTCATGTTATTTCTTTAAAATAAAGCTTTAGTTTTGTAATTCTCTCCAGAAAAGAATATTCTCTTAAAAACTGAGATTCTATTGCTGAAATGCTTTAACTGCAGTACAAAGTACAATCTCCATGATCCTATGTTTGCTGTGTTATAGGTCATGTAATTATATTGCTTACACAGGAGGCTCTCATTTAAGTGCAGCCTATCTGATTCTATTAGATTTAAAAATACAAGAGAAAAAAGGCTGGCTTCTTGGTAGAAATAAAATCACATTTATACAATTTAATTATTAGCTCCGCAAAGCTGTCATGGACCACGTTTCAGATTCTTTCCTGGAAACCAATGTTCCACTTTTAGTATTGATTGAAGCTGCAAAAAATGGAAATGAGAAAGAAGTTAAAGAATATGCCCAAGTTTTTCGTGAACATGCCAACAAACTGATTGAGGTAAGTGTTTTAGCAGTTTCTTTAACGATAACTTGGTGAAGTGTGATGAGTTTTAATGGTTCCCCTGATACATATAGTATGTATAAAATAAGTCTATCACCACTGAATGTCTTTCCACAGCTACCATTTTTATCAGTTTACATTAATTAAGTAAGGTATTAATTTCCTATCCTGCACACTTAACTACACTTAGAGGACAATACGTAACGTAGTGGTAGCTAAGGGCTGGAGTTCTCATGAGTCATACTGTCTATGCTTGCATCTTGGCTACTTACCTAGTCCTGCTCAATTCCTATTTCTTGTTTATAAAAATTAAACTACTGCTACCTACTTTGGGCTGTTTTGAGGACCAAAAGAGATGATATATGCCAGTGGGTGCTTAGCCTATTGACTAAGACATAGATGTAAACCTTAGTCGTCTTGTTTTAAAAGTGAAAAACATAAGCTCTGATATTATGTTTATTAGGTATATTTACATAGTAGAAATTTATAAAAGAGGTTAATTTGTAGGGTGACAAGAAAAAAGAATTACCATTTGATTTCTAGGTAAATTGCACTTGCCTGTTATCTTTTGCTAACTGAATATGTTATTTAATTCGTTTATTATTGCCGCATTGTGGAAATGTGACACACAGTAAACATATACCCAAGTTATTTAACTTTTATAACTTAATGCAAAACATCAAATATTTGGTGAGGACACTCCACAAATCATTTGGTACGTTGCTCAGATATAACAGCAGACCATAGACCATGTAAAATGTGCATGTAGTACATTTGGATTTATAGTGACATTAGCCCAGGTTAATACCATAATAATATTCCAGGGAAAACATCTGTAAATCACATTAGATGCATTACTAACTTTATATCTAATTTTCTTTCAACAGTAAGTGTTATTCTAACCTTAATTATGTACAGAATACATAGGTCAGTCTGCTATTCAAGTTAGAAGTGATTGTGGCATTTGGAACTAAAATTGGGCAGTCGTTGCATGACAGTACAAGATGTCATTTCTGAATGTGTAAGATTCTGTGTTTGGGAAGCCAATCTTTCTAGTATCCTGTGTATTAGAAAGTTTGAATGACAGGAGTCGAGGATACTGTAAGCCTAAGGCCTCAAGTACCAGCACAGTAACAAGCTCAGGGTAGCAGGTGAAGAGAGGGCAGCCCTCATCTGCACTGGGGGGCCCTTTATTAGGATCAGTTGTGTCATTCTCAGCCTCTCCAGCCAGCCCACTGAGGCTGACACTTGCTAATACCCATACGGCATACTTTCTACAACATTTCTTAAGTAGGGAAATTGAGGCTTAGAGAAGTTAAGTATTTGCCTAAGTGTCTTAGTTACTCTTTTATTGCTGGGACAGATACCCGACACCCAAAATGAGGGAAGGAAAGGTTTATTTAGCTCACAGTTACTGGAGGTTTCAATCCGTATTCACCTGGGTCCAAGGCAGACCAGCACATAGCAGAAAGCAAACTTTCATGCTAGCAAAGAGCAAGAGCTGGGGGGGGGGGGGGTAGCAGCAGCTCAAGCAGCTAGCTTCTCTTCCCACCTTACATTGTAATGCAGATTACCTGCCCCAGGGCAGGTGCAGCATCCACGCCCACAATAATCAATCACAAACTTCAGAAGTTACCCCAAGACTACATGAGGCTTTGGGACAACTATATATAAACCATAACACTAAGTCATTGGACTTGCATCCCCTCATCAGTGAAGTTATTCAACACAAGCTCAGTAGCTTAGTGAACATCGTGGTGCTTCTGAAAAGACCTTACTCCAGGTCCAGGAAGTTTTTCAAGGTTAATAGTTTTTAATTTCATTTTGAACATCACTAACCAGGAGCTTTCTTAGATGTTAGTGTGATGTTAGCACCACAGTTCGTCTAACCTGGTTCTTACCTTTAACCCTTCCCCTGCCTTCCACCTGCAATTTTATTAACAAATTAAATACTTTGCTTTTCATTGCCTGAGGTATAACCATAGGCTTTGTAGTGCTATTCTGAAATAGTTAAATTACGTTTATAATAGAATCAATAAGATACATAATTGCATATATCCATGAAAAGGAAATGGCAATGCTTCTCCTCCCCATACCATTCTGTATTATAATGAAATACTCTGAACTACTCAGAGACTTGTTTTAGCAAAGGTAAAATACTTACTTGTAAGTTTTTATTAATCTCTTGATTTAATTTCTTTTCATAAATTCTCTTCTAACTAGAGTAAATATCTGTAGGCCAACTTTAGTTTAAGGCCCATTTCCCCAGAGGGTCTCAAGGAAGTAAGAATTATATATAAAAACTGGGCAGTGCTGGTGAGAATCAGCCTCTGGCAAGAATGGAAGGGCTCAAATAAGAGTTCTGACACTACCAGGAGTTTGTTCAGACTCACCAGCCATTGTTTACAAAAGGGAATTTCAAATGCTGAAACGAAAGTTTGGATACTTGTTAGTATAAAATGAGGTCTGTTTTGGAGAAAGTCTCATGTGCTACTGAGAAGAATGTATGTTGTTGAGTGAGACACTGTAAATGTCTAGAAAGTCCTTTGTTCAGTAGTTTAGTTCAGCTCTGATTTTTTTTTTTTTTTTTTTCTTTTTCCTCCTTCCTCCCTTCTTTCCTTCTTTCCTTCTTTCTGGTGGTGGGACCGAGGATTGAATTCAGGCCCTTGCCAGGGAAGTGCTTATTCTACTGACCTATCTCTTCAGCCCCTCAGCTCTGATAATTCTGTGTTGATATTTTTCCTAGTTGATCTGCTTTTAACAGTGGGTGTTGAGGGCCCACATTACCACTGTATTAGTGCTTAGCTGATTTTTCATATCTGTTAGTATTTGTTTTATGTAGTTGGATGTGCTGGTATTTGGTGAATATATATTTACGATTATCTCTTCCTCTGGATTTTACAAGGATGTAGTGACCTTCTGTCTCAGTTACTCTTCTCTTGTTGCTGAGACAAATACCCAGCCCTCAAAATGAAGGAAGGAAAGGTTTATTTAGCTCAGTTACTGGAGGATTCAGTCCATACTCGGCTGGCTCCAAGACAGGCTGTAGCACCTGGCAGAGGGCAGCAGTTCATGGCACCGGCAAAGAGCAAGAGCAGAATGGAGGAGTAGCAGCAACAATGGCTACAGCCAGCAAGTCTGTTTCCCTTAAGTTACATTCAGGCTATCTGCCCCAGGCTGGGTGTAATATACCCATAAATCCCAGCAGCAGGCATACCCATAATCCCAGTGGATCATTACTTAATCACAAACTCTAGAAGTCTGCCCCATGACTGCATGAGACTTTGGGAAAACTAGACACAAACCATAATATCTTTGTGTCTTTTGATCAGTCTTGGCTTGAAATCAACTTTGTCTGCAAATAGAATAGTTCCTCCTGTTATTTTTTCCGAGTTTCTTTTACAAGAAGTATTGTTTCCCATCCTTTGACTTTTAGTCTGTGAATGTACTTGTTTCTCAAACACAATTTATTTGCTGTCAAATATTTCTTTCTTTCTTTATTTGGTACAGGGTCTCACCACACAGCTTGGACTCATAGTGATCCTACTGTTTCAGTCTCCCCAGTGCTGGGATTAGTGCCATGCCCGGTTTTGGTGGCTGGCACAATGCGCCTTGTGTGCTAGGACCACCATGCCATGTGGTAGCAGGGATCAAACCCGGGTCCTTGTGCTTTCCAAGCAGGTACTTAGATCATTGAGCTATCAATTCTAATTAATCTTATGTTATTCTTTGAATCATCTGGCAGGTGTTGGATTGACTTTTCATGGTCCCTTGCTTTTTTTTTTTTAAGTTAGTATAGTGTCTTCCTATAGATTGGACTCCTAGTGATCCTCCTGTTTTTCAGCTTCCTAAGCGCTGGGATTACAGGTGTGTGCCACCACACCCAGTCTTTTTTTTTTTTTTTAATTTTTTTTCCATTTATTTATTTATTGTGTGTGTGTGTGTGTGTGTGTGTGTGTGTGGCCAGCTCAGCCCACCAGGGGGCGGGGCTGGCTGGCATGTGGTGCTGGGGGATTGAACTGCGGTCCCTGTGTTTTGCCAAGCCCGCTCCAAGTAGGTGTTTTAGACCACTGAGCCATCTCGCCAGCCCACCACACCCAGTCTTAATCACCATCTCAGCACGCCCTGTAGGTGGGGCTGGCACAGCACAGACATGCCAGGGATCAAACCCCAGTCCCTGCGTCTGCCTAAGCAAGTGCTTTAATCCGTGGAGCTATCTGGTCAGCCCTCCTTGCTATTTTTAAAAAGTCTTTCATTTGATAATCACTAACCTTGTCTTCTAGATCTGATATTTTGTCTTCACACTGGTTGGTTTTGCTGCATATACTTTCAGTTGAATTTTTAAATCTCCTGGATATCTGTTTGAATCTATTTTATGACATTTAGTTCTTTCCTGTGTTGTGGTTTCACCATTTTTTCCCACTTTTTTTCCTCCTGTATTTTTCTTTACTATAGATTCATTAACCATGTCCTTCATTATGGTTATCATCTCTTTAATTTCTGTGTAATTATTTGTTTTGTTTTAACCCCCTAGAGATTCATTTGCTTTATTTCCACTTCTACAATTTCAGAAAGGTCAGCTGGGTGGCTTTTGATTGTTTTCTTCTCCCCTACCAGTATTCCCTGGATTTGCCTGCTTTGGGCAGGTTAGAGGTCAGGGGTTTCATCTTGTTTCCATGTTTCTCTCTCTCTCTCTCTCTCTCTCTCTCTCTCTCTCTCTCTCTCTCTCTCTCTCTCGTCATTTTCTGTGTTGATGCTTATAGATTACTTATGGTATGTAGCTTTATTACTACTATCAAGATTTTTTTAGGAAATGACTACTTTTTATAGGCATGGCTGGTGTTTACTGTTTGAGTCTATCTCAGGATTCTGACTTTTCTGCTTATTTGAGTTGAGAGGTTGTAGCCTCTTTGGCCTAGCACCCAGTTCTTTGCCACTGGACTGTAGTATTATGCCCCTCATACCATCAAGGTATTGGCAAACAAAGCAAGTTATTT